CTATCTATCTATCTATCTAGGATTAAAGCTATACTTGCTCCCAAGTAGCGGAGCATTTAGCTCAGTAGCAGGCATGTTAATCAGCTCTTTTATCCTCAGTTGCCTCCATGTGGTGACTGTTAGGTATTACAATCCCTCCAGTAAATACCAGCAGCTTTATTAATTATTTAGAGGCCTTAAGTTTATGCAAACAGGCTTACCATTAACACTAAATTAAAAATGGATTGGAAAATGGTTTTGCATTTATTTTTTCCAGCTATACACAAGGCCCCTTAATGCTGATGCATGGCATTAAACATTTATATTTTTATGCAAATTACACATCCAATAAAAATAAGAAATGGAATACAGTGCTCAGGCTCTTTATTCAGTACTGTTGAGGCTCCACTACTGATAAAACAGTAATAAACATACTGCTCATTCTGAAAATGTCTTGTGGTTTATTTTTATATCTTTTATAATGATGAAATAGTCAGATTAAGATTTCTGTCTTAAATAATAGCCACAGGAGGGAATTCTTCTTCATTCAGGTTAATTATTTATACGTATGAATATATACATAGAAGATGCATGAATCTGTGGAGGTTTTGTTTTCATTGTAGCAGCAATGATGCAATTTAAAACCAGGAAGTTAAATAACATTTGCATTCTTTAATCCTTTTTTCTGTGCATTTACTGTATATCAATATCTCATACAGTAAATGCACAGAAAAAAGAAAGAAAGAAGAAACTGCATTGTGCTTTGAGTTAAACTGCATTAGGACAGATTTGTTTTTCTACAGAATAACTTACACATACTATTGTGTTATTTCCCTCACTTGTTGGTTTTATTTGTTGCCTGCTGTTATATCCGTGCACAGAGCAGGAATTACATTGTCACATTAAAGCCTACTCTGTCAGACAATATTTTCATTTTTTTTGTCTAATAATGCAGTGAACTGCTGCTCTCGCTCAGATGCACGTGGGCAGATTCAAAGTTAAAACACAATGTCAATTCAAGAAAGAATCAAACTGTCTCCCTCTCTCTCCATCAGAGGTAGTAGTCTTCCTCCTCGATGTCTCCGTGTGTGTCCTGGAAGCCGAGCGCCTGGATGTCGTGGGTGATGTCAGTAATGCGTCGGTTGAATTCCTGAGATCCTGAGGCCACAGAGGAGTTGTCATACCTGCTGGGGGGGATATAACAGATTATGTAAATGCTACTTCATCCCTCTGACTTCTTGTTTTTCCAGGTGAGAAGGAATTTCATCTTACAGGGAAATTCACATTTATTCCTACAAAAATAAAATAATTTGTTGTGTGTTCTATGATAGACCATTTTCACCAATGTAACGGGAAAAAATGTTATTATTTTTTATATTTTAATGACAAACTCTCTCAAAATATTGAGAAAGTTAATAATAATAATAATAATAATAATAATAATAATAATATTAATAATAATAGGGCCATTAATAGAATAATAGAACAATAGAATTCCGTATTATGCTGTGTCTTAGCTTTTTATTGGTTATTTTAAATTGCTAATGGATAGAAAATGACACAGTAATGTTAACCACAATGATAAACATACTAATAATGTGCATGAGCTACCACCTGTGTAAAGAAAAACCCTACATGCTGATACTCAAAGAGAATAAATATTGAAATTATTATTATGAGCTCATCAACATTTTTGTGAAACCTGTTGAGTTTTATTCATTATTGATTTTAAATCATAAATAAAAATGATGCACATGTGAAAAAAGGTCATGCGGTGTAATGACCCACAGGTTGTTGCTCTTCAGTTTGACTAAAATCAGGAATGTGAGACGATTACAGATCAGTCTACACGTCCTGACCTA